TCTCCAATGTTGATGAGGTTGTGAAACATTTCTGCGGTAGGAATATTACGTCCGCTGGGATATCCCTTGTCACACCGCCTTATCGCTAGGCAAACACATATTCCATACAACGACGTACGTATCCTTCCTAATACATACTGTCGAAATCCCCGCTGCTCCCCAAATGAACTGTAATCGGCAAACCTCGTCCCTTCCCGTAACTGCTGAAGAAATGACCGATCGCGTTCAGAGTCATTCGTGACCAACTCGTGTTATTGACAAGCAAATTTACCCATGATCCCCTCTACGGCCACTTTGGAACAGGAATGTAAACATAAACATGTTCTCAATCCCCTTTAACACGGAAATCCTGGCCGAAATCCCTCTGAGCCATCCACAACGAGGACGTCAACAATGTTTCGAAAACTCGATTGAAGTGTTCAGGTGAGCGGTGCAGGAGGAAAGGCATCTTGCGGATGCCAGATACGTACATGAAGCAAGGCTTCATGACCTTATGTTACATGATTTCTATACAGAGATCTTATGGAATGGAATGATTTAGATATTTTCCTGTTCTCCATGTTTAGCTGTAAACGTCAAGGGCCTTTTAGTTTTCTTGTGTTCGGAAACATGTTGTTATAATTATGATCAAGTGTTTGTTGTGACATGGTATTTGCATAAGATCTACATGAGGGTTCACGGTAGTGTTCTTATTCTCTTCATAACGTTTGGATTTGATGATAAGGGTTAGTTATCAAGGGTATAAATCTGGCAAAGTGCATGTCACACAAAACGTTGCATTCAATTCCAATAATGAGTAGCCACGTGAAAGTGAGATATGGATTACAATGAATGACAGCTTATCAATCCTAAACAAATTCACACTGAAACTTTGAAAGGATTAAGGCAAGTTAGTTGTTTTCTAACGCATGTTCTGCGTTGTGGGGAGGTTCACAGAAATCCTCAGAAAGCTTAGGAGTATTGAGTGAGTATTTTTGTGTGTGATAATTACAAACTACATGTATTCAACATGGTATATTTCAATTGCAATGTGAAACATCATACTCATAATATTCCAGCTCTGTGATGGCGGCCTGTAAATAATTGAAAATTGACTTTTGAACAAGATCCATGCCCTCAGAGTATGATGACAACCAAGTCTGACCACCCGATTCTTTAAGTGTCCAGCGATTCTACTCCAGACTCCCAACCGATATTTTTTCAGCAATGATCTACGTCGTCAGGTTTAGATGAGATAATATCGAGCAATCTTCTGTCGATCTGGGACCAGCACAGGTGACCCCTATAAAAAATATTCTTGTCAAACTGTTTTGGCCTTGTCAAGTGGTAGAATGTATGCTTCACACCTTGTCATTTCGATTTAGAATATTTACATTTGCAGTTACTGTTTAAGCATTGTATTTGCTCACAAAATCACGAAAATCACGACTTTCAATATGTTTAAAGTAATTGTGAAAAATTAACTATCAGCCCTTCAGATTTTATTGAACGCTCCAATAGACCTTTAAATTATTAAATCAAACACTCTCCATAATAATCATTTAGAGTATACTATTCAAAAGAAGTTAAGGATCACCCGATTCTTTATTAATGGTAAAGTTAATCTGTCATGACATGAGAGATTAACTATAGCAATATGAAAGAATCAGGTGATCCTTAACTTCTTTTGAGTAGTATATATGTATGTTGTAGAATGCGAAAACATGTCTGTTACTTACTTTGTTGAATAAACATGATTAAAGAAGACTAGTAATTACACCCTACTCCAGACTTCTTTGTCTCATAAAAAAACAAACATTCAAACAATGACTAAGACATTTTGCTCATTGCCCTTGCCTTACAATTATTAAACAGCCCGTCGGCACAAAATACTACTTGAAGTTTTATCTTTCTTAATGTTTTATGTTATAAAACAGTAATGTAAAAATGTCTAGCTTGTTTACATCTCAAGTGATATCCGCCCCAAGGCTCGGAACATAGATATTACCTGCAACTTTTTGCTTGCTGATTGTTTGGCAGCTACATGAATTCCCAGACAAATACTTGTCTTGTTTGGAAAAAACGGTATAACATAATTGACCAGATTTGCAGCAGTTAACATGGTTATAATGTAATAGCCTAACCGTTTCCTCTTGGAGAACACTTGGTATATTCCGTATCTATTGTCATGTTAAGGCAGGATTATTATTAAACATGTATCCCCTTATTCAATATGTGACACTTATCTGTTTTTGAAAATCATAATCAAGTACAAAGTACATAAAGATCTGTTGCCTTGTATGCAAGAATTACTGCTATTGATATGTACCATGACCTAAATCCTTTTTTTTGTTATCATGGTACAATACATTATTTGTCAGCAATATTGTGTTTTTCCTTGCTTTTACCTGGAAAAAGGGATGCTTTAAACAGGCTTTTTGATGTAAAGTAGAAGGGCAAAACAATTGGGTGGATGTTTTATTCACAAAAAGGGCCAGCAACCTGTCTTTGTTGCTCAAGATATTATAATATTCATAACACTATTATGTTCTTTGTTTTATATAAGCATTATACAAAGTATTTTATCTTTAAGTTTCCACTGTTGTTATGGGGGTCTGTCTATTTCAGACAAAAATGAAATACACAAAATTGCAAATAATGTGTAATGAGCAGCAAATTGTGAAAAAGGAACGCAGTCCCTAAATTTTATTATATTTATTATATTTTCCCTTGTAAGGGGGCATCTGATCATGGGCTACTTGAAAAGAAATGGTCTTTATCATAAATTTTAAACATGTATGTGAATAACTAATTGCTAGTTTGTAAATGTTGTGTGATGCTTTTGTCAACAAAGATTATCGTAGGCTCTGCTGAGGAGGTTAAAGTACCGTTGCCTGACTGTCCCCCTGTGTGACACGTAATTCCTATTATAATTTATGTAACTATCATCAACCAGTGTCTTAAGCCAGCTCATTGCTGAGTATTTCGTAATATTGGCTAGTATTGTTCACAACCACCGGTGGTTAAAGTGATGTCGAAATCTTGCTGGGATATCATACAGGAGGCTGAGGTCCCCATGATCCCCAGCGAGGTGGCCTATCTTTCGATACTGGTGGCTTTTAAACAGTTGAGAAAATATTGTTATGCCCAAATATGTTTGACAAATTTGTTTTTAAATATAATTTTGTTTATATAATATTATCAACATGTTCTCGTCGCTATATGACTGAATTAATGCCGTTGCGACCTTAAGTTTTTACTAACTCAGTCAATGAAAAGACTTCCCAAGATCTATATTTACAACTGTTGCGCCGAGTTAACGTATGTGGCTAGTTGTATGTATCCTGGCTTATCAGTGGCATTACGTGCAGGAGGTATTAACCCGGAACGGCCCTGTTATCTCTGTGGTTAACTTATGATTATATCGCTTCGTCATACCTGCTGTTCACGTTTTCACCAAGGGTGTACTTAAGCTTCATTTACTCTTGATCTGTACATTCAAAAGTGAAACATAAGACTGACATGACACAGGCTGATTTAAAAAAACCACACTGATTCCAAATACTTTTACGGGTTATTTATTGTAGAATACTATGTTGCTGTTTACTGTGTTTTACTAAGTGTACTTTAAAAATGTTCATTAACCATAATAATATTGATTTGAAAAAGCCTACGTAGTCAAAACACTCACACAACATATTGGATTTGTCAAGGAATTTCCTCCGATAAGGTAACATTAACACAACAATACATACGCGTGTTTTACCATATTATCTTCGCTGGATCAATAACATCAGGTCTCGGTGCAGATGACAATTGTCTTCACATTTTAACGGTCACACGCAACTCTCCTATGCTCAAGATACTTAACCCTTAAGTCAAAATGGAAACGTGTAAGTGACACTTTCCGAAGCCATTGAACGTAAAAACATGAAGACAAAATGAGTTTCACATAAATGAACAAGAGTCCAAAATACGCAGTCATTGTCTTCAAGAAACTTTAAACATGGAGATAGTAAACGCACATACACACACCCGGTAGGATGAGATGGCAATGTGGTTGTTAAACTTCTAGTGCATAATAGGCAGCTTGGGTTGTATACTCCCCAGGGGGAGGAGAATGATTCTTGAGTGCAGATTGATCCAGTGACAGGGGTAATAATAGCACTTTGAGTATGCACCTGAGTGGTGCGGAAATATGCGCAATATAAATATTGTTATTATAGAACAATTACATTTCGTTTGTTTTGCTTGTGTTTTCAGTGAAGGTTCCTTTGGTAGTTCTCGTTGTTTTGTTTGTTTGCTTGTTGTTTAGCGCCGCACTCAACAATATTCCAGCTACATGACGGCGGTTCTCGCTGTGGTTAAGACATTAATAAAATACATTTTCAAATAAATGAAATGTGGAAGAGAATTCAGTGGTAGCACATATTCAATATTAATGCCTTCTTTTTCATTACCACTGAAACTGTCAGTTTCCATGCTCCATCGACCATCAATCAACATAGATCAAGGCTATTATATTAATCAATTGCATGTCCTCTGGTCTACATTCTTCCATTATCACAATTCCTGTTTAACAAGTAAATGATATTCTTGCTTCGATCACCCTAACCCTGTTGTTAATCTCGGGACATTCGTCAAACCGCTAGAATTCCCTTAGACGTGCCAGAAACCTTATATGAATCGCGGTTACCCGCTTGGACCTGTATCACTTCGGTCTTTCGTTCCATAACAAGATGACACGACGAATTTGGTCGGTAAAAGTTCGAGAAAGGTCGGCCTGACGTTACCCGTAATTGGACAACCTGCGTGCCTTTGTGACATATCTCCTGGTGATCTGACTCCCTCTTAGTTGACATTGCTGCCCCCGGCTGTAATTTCCACGTTATTGGTATGACGTCATCTGATCGACGTGTTCATGTATCATGCTCAAACAATTAGTTCTAGAATCACTTCGGAATGTTTATAAAATGTTGTTGTTTTTTTAATCATACAAGATTTGATCGCAAACAAGAAGCTTTTGATTTTTAGTAAACATGAGTCAAGCCTCACCTCCATATCCAATTATCTTGATCATGTTACTGTTATGTTAACGCCATGTGGCACAACATTATGGGACTATGGAGACGGGCGTTACATATAGGGGGACGCCCCCGTGTCTCTTCGTCAAGACGCAGAAAGACTCTTCAGACAAACACACCATTATGTTGAAATTTGGCGTGATCGTGCTTTTTCAAGGTAAGTTGTTTCTCTGCTTCATTGCTCAAATAGCCATTCCCTTCCATTGATTTACCCACCTGAACTAGAAATAAAGGTGACCAGAGAGACCGCTTCATCTGTTTCATATTTAGACATATGCATAAAGATTTAAAGTGACAAAACACTCTCCACAAGAATGTATGACAAGAGGGATTACTTTAACTTTCCTTTGTCAGCTTTCCCTTTATGTCAAGCAATATTCCTGCAGCTCGGGCGCTTGGTGTCCACATTCCACAACTTTTTAGGTACAATCGTGCATCCTCTTTGTACCAAGATTTCAAAGAGCGACATACAGCTGTTGCTCAGATGTTGTTTGATCAAGGTTACACAATTCAAGGCCTCAGTAAAGCTTTCAATACATTTTATGGCAGACTTGTGGGGGACATTTTCAATTTGACACATCAGTGAAATTATGTCCCATGAAATTCCCTATTTTGACCCGTACCATATGTTCCCAAGTTTTTTCAGGTGAACAATTGGATTTCCTGACATGTGTTTGTGACGGGTGCAACCGATGGGGCAGGATAGATTCACCTTTTCGCGAACACCTTGTATTGTTGGATAGTGGTTCATAATCACATGCCCATGATTTAGTCGGAATCGTACAACAGACTCTGTTTTTAGAGATTTTTAGATATGGAAATGGTTTTGTTGGTTTTATTTTTATTAAATTTATAACCTTTCCGTCAGACAATTTAAATTAGTATTTTGATTTACGAATAATAAAAGTTACAATATTCAGAATAAGTTAAGCCTTTCTAGCCTTTCAAGTATGAATAGAACATTACGATCTTCGAATATTAGAAACACATTTTGAAACAGGAGAATACACCTTTACGTATAATTATCATAAATTGGGCAAACATAACTTTGTTTATTTCAATATTTGTCTCTGACTAGATATCTACACCACAGCGTTGCCCACACGGCAAAAGGGAATTAGGCCACTAGGTTTAAGCTTCAGGATTATCGATGTTCTGATATAATTAACTAATTGTTAAAAAGCCGCCTCATCTATTTCATGTTTTGATCCTTACATAAACATTCAGAGTGACAAGTAGTCAGGTTTCCGCTTCTGTAAAGCAATATTCCAGCAACTTCATCCATTGGTTTCTATATTTCATAACTTTTGAGGTACAGAAGTCGGGCGAATTTCGACGAAGACTTATATTAAAAAACCCTCATTCGGCTATTGCTCAAAAGTTGTTTGATAAGTGTTACAACATCCAAGGCCTCAGACACATGGAGGACATTTCACTGGCATCATCACTGTTTGATAATGATTCACAAGCACATATTTCATATAGTCGGAACATACTTAATCACAAATGCTTGACCACAATTTAATATGAAGACCCTGCCCCCTATTAGTTTTGTTTTGGAAGCTGATTACGGAGTGTGTGATTTCGTCAATTTTCCTTGGACATTCAAATACATTCTACAAATATCATGAATTATTGTGTCTCGGAAATTGACTAAATCTGTAAAATTACAAATTGTTTGTCACTTTAGTTGCCCTTTAAACGTTTAGAGAAACGTAGATGTATAGTTATTGAAGCTGGTCATAAATCTGTCAGTGACAAAAAATCAATATTGTGAGACATGCATGTCTGGTTAGGTTTTAAGGGACACGTCTTCCCTTTCTGTCACTACCAACTTAAAGCTGCATTTAATGGCGTGCTCGATGTCAACAGGTTATAATAAATAACAATATTGATCAAATATTGCGTCGTTCGCATACTATAAACATTTCACGAATACATTGTGTATTATTGTACACGCATAGTTGTAAATGTTTATAAACCATGTAGCTGGTAAGAATAGGACAAAAGTATACATTAAGGCCATGCATAAGCTGTTTGCAGGAACATACATTTTTATACAATTGCCATTAAAATAATAATATCTATCAGCGACATAAATCCTGTCACGAGACGTGATGAGGTATATAGCATATTTTGCACCTATCGTTAAATATTCTCTTCATGACATAATGTGTTTCTGTGTGATTTAATTGCGATTAATCATGGTGTGAGATTGGTTATTCACCGGCGTCTAGGATTTGTATTTATTTCTCAAACCATGTGTTTGAATCGTAACCCATTTACAATCAAATCACTTTCATCGGGATTTATATGTGAGATAGAAAATAGAACATAATCTCAAAGAAGTCTAACGATAGAGCAAAGTACAGCAGATGCTCACATTGATGTATGCCAAGGGTAGCATACGTCATTCATTCGCAATAAACCTTCTGCTATTTGTTTTCAAGTCACCAAACACTCCGTACCATTGCCATGAATTAAGTATTTTCAATTACATCATTGGTTTGTTTTCAGTTTATCTCCCAACAGCTGTGGCGGAGACATGTGCCGCTTGTAAAGCTACGTATGATACAGACAAGCCGGCTGCCGTAGATGAAGCAGCAAAATGCGCGTGAGTCAACACTTCATAAGATTTCATATTTATATATCACGTATGATTTATTCAATTATTTTCAATTATAGGTTTAAAGATGTATTTCCATTTTACCATCATAGTGTCAGTGCTTAGTGGCTATTGGCTTTATTTGTCTTATGTTTGCTTCCCATTATTTTTCCTGTAATACTTCTACGTATCGGAGCCAATCGTGTCGGAGCCATCAACAATATCATGGCATGGAGTAGATTCGATATAACATGTGGACCAATCAGAATCCAGGATTCGAAAATGACATGGTAGTATCAAGTATTGACACAAGAGTTTGCCGTGGAAGAGGTCATACGTGGGATATAGGAGACACTGATGTTTTAAAATATGTAAACAATTTCACAAAGCACATTATTTCAAAGGTGAGAACAAAAGGATACTTGTGTTCGTCAGTTCGGTCACCCAATCAACTTGCACTTTTCAACATTTATTTTTGCACTTACGATTGTCACATTGACTGCCAGGGGCACATTCGGTTATTACTAAATACGCAGCCCTTCGATATCATGCATAATCAACATCTTCGTGTCATCTCTTTAAGTCAAAATATCCATTTCTGTTCATTGGCACTACAATAAACGACCATTGATGGGCGCCGTCAGGAATCCAATTTCAGGACTGAACAGAATGTTGTACAGTTCTCCAGATACTGTTGTGATGTAGTGATGTGGTGCTAGCACGGTTCCTTTTGCTGTGATGTTTTTTCATCGTAGTGTCCTAATGGGGAACTGCCCTATTGCCGAATCTTTGTTATTATTCGTATTTTCGCTGGCCATAACGACATATTAAGTGACGCGTGTTATTCATTGCGATGCAGTGATGTCATTATATCGTATTGTGACGTGTCCGGATCTTGTCTTATCAATCTTGTCCTGTTGTGATATTAATGTTTCATGCACTGAATCGCTCTGACTCAACAACAGCATTATTTCAACCAAATGTGTCCCCTGTCGTGATATTGCTAAAACCAGCGTAGAACCATACTCACTCACTCACTCAGTCGCTCATGTTTAGTTTACAAAATTTGTGTCTATTTTTACTGTTCAATAGGAAAAATAATGTAAATATTATGTCGCTTACACAGTGTAATAGTGACATATTTAACCTGTCTGGAGAATTCTACATATCTGTCTGCAGACATTCATTCACTACGTGCAGTCAATGATGAGCGCAATCAATGTGGTCACAAACCCACACCTTTAAACTATCGTTCTGCAAATATTGTTGGGATATATTGCTGTGGAGCTTGCATTGTATATTTTGTCTTGATATCTCTTTCTCTTAATATCATAGGGGCGAACTGCCTAACTCCGAGTTGATTTCATGATGTCGAAGAACCGTAGTTTGCCAAGGTCTCATTGCCGTTATGTGAATTTTTATCGTATTGTAACTGGTAATACGTCATTGAAATAATGTGATGCAGGTACTTCTTCGCGATGTAGTGATGTCATAAGATCCTATCGTCGTCCAATGTCAAGTTGTCATTGTGTGACATTATAGTGTAATGCACAGACTCCACATCGTCATTTTTCAACCGCATTGAGTCAAATGAGAATAACCGGTAACATATCATATATTGTACATTTGAAAGTAGCCGGAGAGTTCCAAATATATACTGAACCAAATTAAAAACTTCACAATCCTTAAATTTTAACATTTTGACCAGTTTTCATTGTGGGCCCTTATTGTGTATTGAAACTGTAATGGCCACGTATTGTCTTCAGATAACACCCGTTTTTGTGCAAGTGAACCGATCAACATCATGTGCACAGCACCTAAGTGGCAAAAGTGGTTTTTCACGTGCAACTGGTCACGTGGCCATAATACCGCACGTGTTTTCAGCCACACTTGTTAGCAGTCATTAACAAAAAAAGAAAAACACAAGAAAACAAACGTTTTTTCGGTCATTTGTCATGCCACGACTTGTCCAACGTGAACGTGCCATCGGCATGTTGCAGACGGGAACGTCCGTAGTTGAAGTCGCAAGGACGATGGGTTGTAGTCGACGGACTGTTTATGATTTTCACACGCGTCTACAGCAAACGGGTACCACCGCTGATCGCCCTCGGCCAGGTCGACCACATGTAAAAATTACCTTCTCTGACACATTTGTCCGTTGTATATCATATATGGGATTACTTCTAAAAATGTGAAGTTTTTGATTTGACTCAGTATATTTATCTATAAGAAGATGAAACATGAAATTATGCCACAACAATTTCACAGCCTGTAAACATTGTCTATTTAAATTTGTTCTTCGGAGTATGTCAAATCTCATGTTCAAGTGTCAATGTCGGTTTTCTTCCATAGTGTGCTTGCGACATATTTGCACTGTCTGGAGGGGTCAGGGAAAGACGACGCCGGGTGTCCGCTCGTAACTGCTGACGCCGACGCCATTGAGTTTGATTATTCCGACTTTTCTTGTAGCGGGAGTATATATATATATATATCTATATATATATATATATATATATATATATATATATATATATATATATATATATATATATATAAATAAACCATAATAATAACCTAAAACATTCTTATGTTACGTAGACTTGCGAATATATATACAAACATGAGGCAAATGTTCACTCGGTGTACATGTAGTATATAATAAAATAATATAGACGTTTAGTCCCCGTTAGTCCAAAATCTTCTTTATATAAGTTTGTGATATAAAGAAGATGTTGGACAAGTGTGGAGTTTATTTTTTTATATATATGGTTGAGGGTTGGGAGATGTCGCCAGATTATTATTTGTTGTGTAGTGTGCTCTTTTTGTGTTGTATAGAAGCGGCATTTACGGACACCTGCATATGTCAGAAGGAATTCTGGAAGACCGATCAAAGTGCTGGTAATGCAGCCATCTGCAGGTAATCACCACATGCTGTTTACTATCTTGAAAAATTGACGATTCTCCTCATATATGAATATATTGTAGACATGATGATGGAAGCGCATTTTCGTAACTTAAATATGTTAAGTAAAATAGGTAACATATATAGTAATGTGTTCACACCTTCGTCTTATGTAACGTCCATTTTTTCGCCAACTACAGTGATTGTCAAGTTGACATTGTTTTTTCTACAGCGCCGCCACGGCTTACATCGCGTGCTTGAAGGGGAAGACAGCATTGGCCTGTGATGGCTCCACTACTGTAGCAGCTCTTGCTGCTGGCGTAGAGACCAGGATAACAGCTCTGGGAAGCACAGACTGTGGTGTGTTCAAAACATCATCTAGCTTAACTCTTTCACTTCGCGTTGAGTCATAATAGTTAGTCATGTAAACACGCACTGACCAATAGCAGAACGGCATAAAGGTTCGCTTACAATTAAACAAATACGAATGCAGTATTAATAGTCGCGAAATGTCGTTTGATTGCCTTCAAACTACAATGTTTTATACGTACTGAGATTATATTGTCATTACTTATTGATGATTTTATCCAAACCATCTTGTTATTTATTGTCAGCTGTCACCACCGCCTGCCAGTGTGAAATAATTGCCGCTAAAGCAGACATCTCTGCTGATGCCACTAATTGCACGTGAGTAAAGCTCAAGTTCATTCATTGCCAAAACATGGCGGTTATTAAAATCAATCTTTTCTTGCGGCAGTGGTAACTTCGAGGAATATGGGTGTAATTTCAGACACAGGACGTTTTGTTTCTTGTTACATGAATGATCCATTTTTGTTAGTCTTTTTGTTGTTTAGCGGAGCACTTAGACTTGATTTTTTCCAGACCGCAGTCATATAGCTGGAATATTGCTGGGTGCGGCGTTAAACAACAAACAAACAAACAAACTTGGCAATAGTCCACCTTATGACGGTAGTCTGTACATAACTGATTCTGGACCCGATAATTCAGTTATTGACATCATGAGCATTGATGTACGCAATGGGATACGATGACATGCATCAACTGAGTCAGCGTAGACTGACCACCAGACCCCATTAGGCGTCTCTAATTATAAGTATGAATGTTCACAGGGGAGAGGGGGGAAATTATTTTTTGCTTTAAGAACAACATTGAGTAAGATCGCTTTATTCAGTCATAACAACGATGAGTTCTCAGACATAACATGGCATCAATAAATTTAGTCGTTATTTAGGAATAACTAACAGCCTGGACATTAAACTCTATTGTACAAACTACAGCCCTGACGGCAATAGAACAGACAGTACAAGACTCAAGAGGATGCACACACCTCAAGACAAACCATACAAGCATTAATGACTAGACGCCAGTAAGCCAAAAAGGACTACCGGATGTCAATATGCATAATGGACCGCGAGGGTAAGCAACATCGAGAGCCCACCCAAATTTCCATACTTGCAATTATTCAACATTTCTAGACAAACCATACAAGCATTAATGACTAGTCCCAAAAGGGGAACTGCCGGGTGTCAATATGCAACATGGCCCCCGATGGTTAGCAGCATCGTGCGCCAACCCAAATTGCAATACCAAGCCTGCAAGTATATAACCGACTGAAAAGCAAAGATCGACCCATCGACCAACATACCTTTTTTGACAGTAGGATGAAACTGTAACAAATTGACGTCAAGTTCTAACGACCAAACATCCAACCTCAAAAATAAACTTTAGAGAACAGTATATACCATAGTGAGTAAGTACATTCTGTACAAAATAAAAATTCTGTACAAAATAAAGTATGGATCACTTATCGAAGGAGCGAACAATGTTAAAAAAAAGCTGCTTCCACAATGGCGAAGAAAATCAAGAGGTTGGTAAACATTCAAGCCAACCTGGAGTAACACGTCAAGAGTTGTCTCCCTTGGACAACTCAGCTTTCGATTTTCACGCAATGCACCACGAGGTGTTCCCCTTCGACCATATGCTACGTTAAATGCCCATCTATACCAACAGTCATTAAATTGATAAATCATCCACGCAAACACTGAAGTACTTTATTTTATCCTGAAATAACAAAACGTCATTATCACTGAGACACAATGTCAATTTGGTACAACGTGACGAATACACACAACGAAAGAAGAGCAGTAAAATAAAGGAGACAAAAACATTTCTACAATCAAAGGAAATCTCTACGCTACTGCATTGTACCGCCCCGAAAAAACGAAAATGCCTACATTGGAAAGGATAGGTTTGCAGAGTTCCATTTACCAAATACATTACTCACTTGTTGACTGGTGCAGGGTACATGCTCGGGATATTAACTGATGTCTGAGAATTCCGTTTTCCGTTTGTATTATGTATGTGCAATATCAGTTTCCTTCTTTGTCCTAGTGCCTACAAGGCCCAGTACGCATGCCTCTATCCACTGACTACTGCTCCCTGTGTTGGCACCATAGCTGATCTAAAGACGGCAGCCGCTACGTCGGTAACATCTACAACATCATGCAGTAAGTAAACAAATGCAAATATTGACATGGCCAATAGTGTTTCATTCGAAAGGAGCTTTTGAAATATGTATCCATTCATAATAAATGATGCATTTAAAATTATTCTAACTCGCGATTCCCATTTCTTACAGCTTTTGAGGACACATGTGTCTGCCAGAGAGCTTTCGATGCTGCAGCAAAAGGGACTGATGCAGAAAAATGCACGTACGTTGAAAATAGTTCAACTATATATACATTAAGAGAATTAAAGAGAAACTAAATGAAAACTGTGGTCAGATCCGTTGACTTGGTTGATTGAGTGTCATCGTCCCCGATGCAAACCAACCAATCAAACAATCCATATCTCTTCCCGCATAAATTGAATTTCCCTGTTTAATGAAGACACAGATGACACTTCTCATAGTTCGGGAAATCAGTTTGAGCCTACCCATTGACAGGTTTTGTAAAACGTTTTCAATACATCCTTGAAGGAAAACTTGATTTGTTTATCTGAAAATTCTAACATTAAACGTATATCAGTGTACCTGCCAGCAACGATACTCATTTGACCGTGTCTACGTAACTATGTATTCTAGCGCTCATAAAACTGAGCTGAGTTACCTGAGAACAGCCCAATCACCAGGCTGTGACGGTACTACGACCAAGAGCGCCATTGCAACGACTTCTGAAACAACAAGAGCTGCACTGCCAGAAAGGGATTTTCCAAGTAGGCACTTTACATTAAGGAATACAGTCCTTCATGCAAAACACGCCATCATTGATGTACATGTACGTGAGTTGTGTCTCTTCGATTCTTTGAACAATGGTTCCGCCTTTTCACAGTGTCTGAGTTTAATGTACGAGAAAATCCATAAGTGATGTATGTCTCTGGCGACATCCTGGAATAAATTGTATGCAGATCTTGGCACACCCAAGGGGGCAACTCATAAACCCAGTACTTGAATATTTGAGTGTTTTACTAATAGTTATACTCTACTATCAGAGAGCCAGTGGTACTTGTGTTTCGGTGGTATTGATTGTTTCTGTATTGTAATACAGGAGTATAAAGATGCGTTTTAACCTATGAGACCCGTGATGAATCAGGGGTAGAATAGGTCTTTAGCAACCCTTGCTTGTCGACTAACGTTGACATGGTTGATGCCTGTCATCGTATCCCAATTGCGTGGATCTATGCTCAGGATGTCAATCACTGAATTGTTTGGTCCAGACTCAATTATTTACAGACCGTCGTCAAAAAGCTGGAATATTGCGGCGTTAAACAACAAACAACAACATTTAACATATGCCAGTTAGGTCATGTCGTGTCAGCATAAAGTGGCCAGGAAGTATCAATGAAACAGATCATAGACCACTTCGGTAAAAAACAGAGGGTATTATTCTGAACATCAACGGCAAACTGTTACTGGTAAATCGGGAGATATATGGCTCGTTTCCATGTCTATATGCACCTAGATTAGAACCTGAAACGTAGTTCTATCATGCTCGTACGGCATTTCATGTGTTGAAACAAACTAAATCACTAATATAACTTCTGTAGAAATATGAGACTTATACACACAATATACACGATATTCCTAGAGCAAGTTTATGTCTACATAACGTGCAAAGTCATATTCAATATTAAAATAAGAATGCTGAACACCGGCTTATATTATGTATTATATTTATATCATGACCTATGGTTGTTCCGTTACAGGTGGGAGTGTTGCGGATCGCGTGACGTTTGCGGTGACGTCACTGGTCGTTTCAGTTCTTGTAAACATGTTCCTGTACATGTAGTGGCCCTCAATGTTGACACTTCCAAACTCCTAGCATCTTTGGTTCCGGTTTTGATAACTCTACGGCTAATATGCTGTTGTTCCGATCGTGTAAATCTGTAGGATACTCACATGACTCAACCCACGTGTTCCGTACCCGAATGACGTGTTGAGTTAATCCTTGTTGGTTGTTCCACCGAAATAAACGGTACTGTTCACGAAGTCTACTTGTATGTTTGTTTTTCAAGACCTACAATTGTTGTCACATACTGTTGGTGGCACTAGTAAGCCAGTCACCCGCACCGAGGCGCCACAATTCGTTGTGGATAGTCGCTTCTCTGAGGTGTTGTAGAGTCATAAGATATAAGGCTTCGAATCTCTGATTTGCAATGATAATGGTTTTTGGTTGTGACTACCATGCACGTGTTCATTGGTTTTGCGAAGTAGTATAACGTCTATTCAGTGAATACTAACTGTTATCCCTGATAAGCACATACAAATATCCAAAATAATTCAGGAAACATTGCATCAGAATCATTATCATTATGTCGTTAATGTCCATGCTTCTAGTGGCGTCATCCATTTGTGTTTGGCTCTATTTCTGGTAAACATGTGACGAAAACTTCTCGTTAAAAACCTATGCTGGGTTTCAGTCAAAAATAGATCGGATTTTCATCTGAAGTGACAGTGTCAGTATTTTCCATATTAAAACACTCGTGGTAAAACCCTTTATATAAAGGATATTAGAAATGGGCAATAAATTACAGTAACATGTACCTGCAAACTGTAAATTAAAATACAGATACGCATACGCACGAACACAGGTGCTTTAGGAATATACATATACATGTACAGTTGCAAAACACATTTGCGTACTTGATCTAAGGTAACTTGTTCACAAGTGACATAGTAATATATACTATAAATCTGCTTTAGGTTTACACCATGATTTGGTTTGGAATGATACAATAACAGAAATGAAATATGGACACGTCTCTAAAGACACTAAATTTAACATTACTAACAAACTTGAATGAGTAATATTCAACTTGGATGACAAAATTATCAAATCAGTATTACAAGCTAGCCGTGTTCAAAATGTTCACAAATATGCGTCCAGTCACATAATGGTTGATTGGTTGGATTGTTGTATAACGCAATATTCAAGCTACATGACGGCGGTCTGTAATTAATCCAGTCTGGACCAGACAATCCAGTGATAGACATCATGAGCATGATATGCATCAACCAAGTCAGCGAGCCAGACCACCCGATCCCGTTAATCGACTCTTTCGACAAAGCCTATGAATAGAAACTTACAGGCAAAAGTATAGGTATGCCAGGAAAACAGACTGCCCTACTTTTGGAGAGTTTGCAATAGTGAAGGAAACTCTAGTTTTACAGGTGGTGTACCTCACACGAGGTTAAAGGTGATTTTGAGGTTTGAGGCAGTTGGTCTGACAATCCAGTGATTAATATCATGAACATCGATCCGCGCAATTTGGATCGATGAGAAGCATCAACCAAGTCAGCGAGTCTGACCACCTGATTCCGTTAGTCGCCTCTTACGACAAGCATAGTCGCCTGCGTGTCAACCGACATTCGTAACATATCTTGTTGAGCAGAAAGTGGATCAGTTACCAAGGGTGCTAATTATTTTTTTTAACTCACAGGGATAGTTTTAAGCCATCAGGGTTTACAGGCAGGAGTCCGCAGGATTACAAATCAGGAAAGGATACTTCTTCTGCATTTTCGTCAGAGCCTAATTGTAGACATTGCCGCAAGTTAGGGCATATACTTTCTGAGTGTAGAAAACTCGCTTTCAAAAACTGTCATTCCTTTATGACAAGTTACAGCCTTTTGTGGTTCGGCTAATAAGGAGTTGTTGTAGAGTGAGTGAGTGAGTTAAGATTTATACTCACATCGGCGGTATTTCAGCATAATGTGACTACAACAATTTAAACATACATCCGAGAGAGACCCCTAAAGATCCGGGGTAAAATAGGTCTTTAGCAACCCATGCTTGCCTTAAAAAGCGTCGTCGTAAGAGGTGACTAACGGGTTCTGGTGGCCAGGCTCGCCGACCTGGTAGATGCACATTATGGTATCCCAATTGCGTGGATCGATGCTCATGATGTAAATCACTGGATTGTCACTCGACTATTGGAATATTGGAGTGCGACCTTAAAAATCAAACAAACAAACATCATTGATCAAGTTAGGTATGTCCTAGATCGCACAGCAAGGACTGGTTCAAATCGTGTCTTCATTTCCGCAACAAAATCGGCGTAACTACTGGAGCAGTCATTGAGTCCGCTTCTCCTATTAAAATTTCTGCTTTTGTTTGTTTTGTGGTCAAATATGCCCATATATTGGAATTGGGGTTCAGAATTTGGTTGTTATCTGTCGCATTTCTTTGATGGAAATGATCATTGTCGGCAACGTATTGATGACCTGTTATAAACCCCGTTTATTTCTCATTTGGTATTTTATAATATAAAACGTCAACGACAGAAAATAACCAATAATCAATCACGATTATTAGCCGAAACAGATGCAAAATACATAGCGGGTGAACATTAAATGAATGGGTCACTGAAATCAATAGAAAGCATGTATTATACTGGTCAATTCAGGGAACCCGTCAAGTGTGTACATCTTCGTTTATAATTCCAATGAAAGTTACAACCATTTGGACAATGTCTTTTGTTATATCATTTAAACATTTCTGTTACCATAAGTTCCTACACTGATGTAAACTAACACATGCCAAGATTTTACTACCGCTTTGCTCAGATAATAGTTGTCCAATTTGTATACATATGGGAATGTGTTACTGTTCCCAACCTGTGCTTGAAGTGTTTCACCATTCCTGATGTCATGACAACGTCCAGCTTAATGACGACTTCCTGTAAACACTCGAGTCAAACAAACCAGTGGTTGATGTAACGAGAAACGTCTTGGGCATGATGACACGCAATCTAACAAGTTCAGTGGTCTGAACACCTGATCCAATACGTCACGGTCGCCTCGTAGGGCAAGCATATGCAGCTAGGGACATGCTTGTATTATGACCAGGAATTATCATGAGGTTAATGTTTGTACGAACTACGAGATGGAACTGATCACTTGAATGTTTTATCATAACAATGTAATGCTATTTACATGGCTGACGACCCGTGAAGATCCGTGGTAGAATAGGTCCTCAGCAGCCCATGTTTGCCGTAAAAGACGACTAACGGGATCGGTTGGTCAGGCTCGCTGACTCGCTCCCCATTGCTTGGATCGATGCTCATGATGTCAATCACTGGATTGTCTGGTCCAGACTCGATTATTCACAGACCGCCGTCATATAGCTGGAATATTGCTGTGTGCGGCGTTCAACAACAAACATGTTAGAATCTAAACTTTAGTGTCAGTGGTTTTATTTTAGCTTGCACTTCATTT